ATATAAAAGAATGAGCTAAAAGTTTGGGTCATTCCTACTGCTCACCCTAATGCCTCCGTAAAAAAATATAAATACTTGATCATTTTGTTTTGTTTGAATTATTTTGTGCTAGTGTCGATGTAATCAAAATTGCAATATTTTTGGATTGCAATCCAAAAATCTTGTAAAACAGATTTGAACTGTTTGGGGAACCACAAGATTTTACTAGATTTTTAGATTGAAATAACAAATACTGCAGAATCAAGGCAAAAGTTATCTTAAAAAAATTCACGTCAAACTTGAATTTTTTTTTGGGAAAGTGCACTCTCTCACCCTATGCAAACCCTACCCTATGACCCAACAACCCATAGCGTGAAACCTCAGAAACGTCAAATCTACTCTATCCCTCTCTCGCTAAACTACTTCAACCCGAAATCTACTCTCTCTAAACTACTGCAAGTGAGAAAGCTCCTCTTTCTCTGTACATAACCAGTTACTGAGCTCCTCTTTCTCTTTCTAGAACCAGTGTCTCGAGAGCCCCTCTATCTCTCTCTAAAACTAGTGTCTCAAGAGCTCTTCTTTCTCTCTCTAGAACTAGTGTCTTTAGAGCTCCTCTTTCTCTCTCTATAATGACGTAAAAAATATTGCATTGTAACCTGCCACATGAATGGGAGAAACAAGCTAGGTCTGAAGTGGTTTCTAAGCCAGAGTCTGAAGCTCAAGGGCTTCACAATTTTACAACTGAAGCATTGAAAAAAGATTGTTTTGAGCTTCAATGAAGTCATCCATGGCTGGCATTTTGCTCTTTCTCGTTTTGACAATTTTGTCATGGCCTATTCTATCGAATCTCTTTGCCAGAGAGTTGCCGCCTCAGAGCTCTCTCTGCATGGCGGATTTTTGACAGAAAGATTTTAGGGTTTCAAATTTCTTATTATAGCTCTAATGGGCAAACCTCATTGGGCGAATTTTTAGGTTTTCAGTTTTCTAGAATTTCAGAGCTCTCTTCAAATCCAATGGACCATAGTTAGAAGAGTTTTTGGGAGTTTAAGCTTCCATTTTTACGGTTGTAGTGAGCAATGTGGCTTGAACAGATAGTAGCTAAAATGCCGATCTATCTATGGAAACCCCAATAAAACCATTCTCTCTCCATAAAACTCAATTTTCTTAACCATTTTCTTCAATGTCTATATTTTCTCTCCACGCAACTTTCAGAGTTAAACAAAAGGCTTCTACTTGTAAATCCCCTTCTTGTTGAGGGAGAGATTCACAAAGTTTATATTGAGCTTGCACCTCCTCTACTTATAAATCGACTTCTTATTGAGGGACATAATTGTAAAGAGAAATATGGATTTTAACACCCAAACGGTTTTATAAGCAAAGAAAAAAGGCTCGGTATTTTTACAATGGGTACACTTGGCATACGGATGCATCCGTAGCTGTAGAGGTAAGGTGCACCTTCAAATTTTATCTTGGTATATAATTTTAATATAAAATGTTCTTAGGATTATCTCAAAATCTATTTTTATATTTAATTATAAAATTTTAAATTTCAAAAATGGTTAAAATCATGTAGATCTATTATGAAAAATCTTGAAAATGGACCGTGTAGAAAATATGTTGTAAAATGCACTATTTCTGAGACTTAAAATCATTTTATTTTTCATAGTCATATATCTCGATGTCGAGATGATGAATCAAAGGGTTTTTCAACATTAAAACTATTTTTTCCGATGGATTTTTGAGGTGCATCCATAGTTCCGATGGATTTTTTCTTTTATAATTGGTATTTGAAAAACTCTAATTTTATTAGATAACAATTTATTTTTATTTGACATCCAAACTGGGCCTTTAATATATCCCAACAGCACCTCGCCAAATTTTATCTCCATCTAATTTTGAAATAAGTTATAAAATGTATGAAGATAGTCGCCACCATTTTCAAAATGGCCAA